GTGAAGAAAGGTTGGCAGTAACAGAAGCCAAAGAGGAAGAGGATGAGGACGAGGCCAATAGCGAGAAAGAAGTGCATTCTACAAGGAGGAAAGAAGACAAAGCTCATTTTCCACCAGAGGTCCTGGAAGAGTAAAAGGTACGAGGCAAAATGAAGGGCCAACTATGAAAAATCTCAAATTAAATGTTACACTTGTCAAAAACTTAGTCCTTTAGAATGTAAAAATAGTACTAACTAAGTTAAGGACAAAGCTAACTATGCTTGTCGGGAAATTGAAGTGGATCGTGCACTACTATTGGCTTACAAAGGTAAAGAGAGCAGAGAAAAGAACACTTGGTATTTGGATACAGGAGCACGCAACCATATGTGTGGAAGAAAAAACATATTTCTGGAACTTGATGAATCAGTAAGCGGCAACATTACCTTTGGAGATGAATCCAAGATCCCAGTGAAAGAAAAAGGTAAAATCTTGATCCGCTTGAAAAATGATACGCATCAATTTATCTCAAATGTCTATTATGTGCCCAATATGAAGAATAACATTTTAAGTTTAGGACAACTCTTAGAGAAGGTCTATGATATTCATTTGAAAGATCATAGTCTTTCAATAAGAGATCAATGAGAAAATTTGATTGCCAAAGTACCTATGACAAGAAATAAAATGTTTGTGTTAAGCATTCAAATTGATGTTGCCAAATGCTTAAAATCTTGCTTTAAAGATTCATCTTGACTTTGACACTTGAGATTTGGGCATCTTAATTTTGGAGGCTTAAAGTTGTTGAGTATGATTGATGGTGAAAGGTTTGCCTCCAATAAATCATACGAATCAATTATGTGAAGGATGCTTACTTGGAATGTATTCGAGGAAAAGTTTTCCAAAAGAAACATCTACAAGAGCTAAGAAGCCGCCAGAACTTGTATACTCCGATGTTCGTGGGCCAATTAATCTAAGCTCTCTCAGTAAAAGCAATTACTTTGTTCTTTTTATTGATAATTTTAGTAGAAAGACTTGGTTCTATTTTCTCAAACAAAAATTGGAAGTTTTTGAAACTTTTAAGAAGTTTAAAGCTCTTATTGAAAAAGAAAGCGGATATAGTATAAAAGCCTTAAGATCGGATAGAGGAGGAGAGTTCACCTCCAAAAAGTTTGAGAAATATTGTGAGGAGAATTGAATTCATCGCCCATTGACGGTTCCATACTCTCTACAACAAAATGGAGTAGCTGAAAGAAAGAATATATCAATTTTTAATATGGCCCGCTGCATGCTCAAAAGTAAGAGATTGCCCAAAGAACTTTGGTCCGAAGCTGTTAATTGCACCGTGTATCTGTCTAATCAATAGCATTCTAGAAAAGTGTGGAATAAGACACCACAAGAAGTATGGAGTGGAAGAAAGCGTAGCATCTCTCACTTACGAGTATTTGGGAGCATTGCATATGCTCATGTACCAGATCAAAAATAGTCCAAGCTAGATGACAAGAGTGAAAGGTATGTTTTTATCGGTTATGACTCTCGCTCTAAAGGCTACAAGTTGTATAATCCAAATAAGAAGAAGATCATCATAAGTAGAGATGTCGAGTTTGATGAAGAAGGAGCTTGGAATTGGGGTGTCCAAGAAGAAGACTACGACTTTTCACCAATCTTTGAAGAAGAAGAATAAGAGAATGAAGAGCAGCAAGAGCTTATCAGTCCACCTCTATCGCCTACTCGTGGAGATGCTTCTCCATCATCTTCACAAGGAGAAATCTCAAGCGAAAGGACACCATGGATGAGGAGCCTACAAGAGCTATGTGAGGTAATAGAAAATCAAAATGATCTCACACTCTTTTATCTTTTTGCAGATTGTGATCCAATAGGGTATGAAGAAACAGTGCAAAATAAATGATGGAGAGATGCCATGGATGAAGAGATTAAGGCTATTGAGAAAAATGACATGTGGTAGCTGACAACCCTTCCTAAAGGAAAGAGAGCAATCGGAGTTAAGTGGGTGTACAAGGCAAAGAAGTACGCTAAAGGAGAAGTAGAAAGATGTAAAGCAAGATTGGTTGCCAAAGGCTACAATCAACAGTCGGGAATCGATTATGAAGAGGTATTTGCTCTTGTTGATCGTTTAGAAACCATAAGATTAATTATCTCTCTTGCAGCGCAAAATAAGTGGAAGATATTTCAAATGGACGTGAAAACGACTTTTCTAAATGGTTATCTTGAAGAAGAAATCTATGTGGAGCAACCAATTGGCTATAAAATAAAAGGACATGAACGTAAAGTCTTAAAACTAAAAAAAACTTTATATGGGTTAAAACAGGCTCTAAGGGCATGTAATAGTAGAATCGACAAGTACTTCCTAGAATATAATTTCACAAAATGCCCTCACGAGTATGCCCTTTATATGAAGGTAAATGAGAAAGGAGATTTTTTGCTTGTTTGTTTGTATGTAGATGATCTTATATTCATAGGAAATAATCAAAGTATGATCACTGAGTTTAAGAAGACCATGGCTTAAGAATCCAAGATGACGAATATTGGCCTCATAGCCTACTATCTTGGGATTGAGGTAAAGCAAATCGAGGATTGCATCTTTATCTCACAAGTAGGATATGCGAAAGAAATTCAATATGGAGAATTACAAGCGTGTATGCACTCCCATCGAATGCGGAACTAAGTTGTCAAAGAATGATGAAGGTGAAAAAGTAAACCCAATACTTTTTAAGAGTCTTGTTGGAAGTCTAAGATACTTGAAGTGCACAAGACCTGATATCCTTTTTGAAGTTGGGTTCATCAGTCGCTATATGGAGACACCTACCATGACACATATGAAAGTTGCAAAGAGAATTCTTCGCTACATCAAAGGTACGCTTGATTATGGCTTAGTCTATTCATCATATACTGAATTCAAACTTGTTGGATGTAGTGATAGCGATTGGGACGGAGACAATGATGATAAAAAAGAGTACGACTAAGTATGTGTTTTACTTGGGCGATATAGCTTTCACTTGGAGCTTAAAGAAGCAATCGATCGTAGCACTATCTACCTGTGAAGCTGAATATATTGTAGCTACATCAAGTATTTGCCATGCAATTTGGCTTAAAAACTTGTTGAAGATACTTGGAGTATCACAAGAAGAACCGACCGAAATCCATGTTGATAACAAATCGGCATTGACAAAGAACCTAGTAATCCAATATAGAAGCAAGCACATTCATACAAGATATCACTTCATAAGAGAAAGTATTGCAAATAATGAAGTGCATCTGAAATATGTAATCTCCCAAGAGCAGATTGCCGACATTCTCACTAAGCCACTCAAACATGATGTGTTTCGCAAGTTAAGAACTCTACTTGGAGTAGCAAAATCAAGTTTAAGGGGGCATGTTGAGTAATAAACTTGATTTTTAGACTAAATAATATGGGCTTAAAGATTTTGCTTATGGATCCAAATCAATTAAAAGACCCAACATGCCTAGAATTTCTAGAAACATTATCTAGAAAAATCTATATAAATATCTAAGTAAGATATGTGGTCTTATGAAGAATATCTAAAGAATTCTAGAAAAATATCTTGATGTGTGGTCTAGATGTCTCTAGAAAATTGTGTGGACTAGAAGTTTCATGTAAACACTATATAAAGGGGTGGTGCCATCCATTTTGTAATAGCCAAAAAGTGTGTAAAGTCTTGAAGTTGAGAAATACAAGTTTTCTTTTTTCACTTCCTTCTTCCAGTTAGTGTTGTTCTCTTAAAAGCCTTAGCCAATCCAAGTTAGTAAACCCCTCTTTTCTCCAACAGAGCTCTCCTGTTAGAATTTCTAGTATTCTTGAAAATCAAATTAATTCAAATTAAATTCATGCTTGGTAATTCTGCTTTGTCTAATTTTTTGTTTGTAAATGATGAATATAAACAGTTATTTTTAAAATTTTCAAGAATTAAAAAAATTATTTCTTGTTTTTTGTGAAAATATTCTTGAGGAATCCATTATGGAACAATATAAATTCAGTTGTCTTGTTAAATTAGTAAGATTGTTTGCAAATTTAATTTTGGTCAAGAATTGAATTCTTGTTCTTCTAAAATACAGTATCGCTTTCTAGGTTCTTATGATTTTACATTTTAGATCACTATTAAATGAAATTCTTGGAGAAAACTTGTAAGTTGTAAAAGTGAATCCCGAAAGGAGGCAAGCACTTCTGTTCTAACATGTCCTTGTGAAGAACAAGATGAAGACCTGAGGTTTTTATTTCAATTGCTTCCTCCCAGACTTTTGAGTTACTGCTGGTGAACTGATTTAGTTTCAAGCCCTTATGGCATGAGGAATCCATTATGGAACAATATAAATTCAGTTGTCTTGTTAAATTAGTAAGATTGTTTGCAAATTTAATTTTGGTCAAGAATTGAATTCTTGTTCTTCTAAAATACAGTATCGCTTTCTAGTTTCTTATGATTTTACATTTTAGATCACTATTAAATGAAATTCTTGGAGAAAACTTGTAAGTTGTAAAAGTGAATCCCGAAAGGAGGCAAGCACTTTTGTTCTAACATATCCTTGTGAAGAACAAGATGAAGACCTGAGGTTTTTATTTCAATTGCTTCCTCCCAGACTTTTGAGTTACTGCTGGTGAACTGATTTAGTTTCAAGCCCTTATGGCGATTTATATTTAGATGGAATTTGAAACCCCAAACTCATGACTTAACAATGATACATCACTATTGATTTTGTAATTTAGAAGTGGCTTATCTTTCTATTCAAATTTTCTGATACTTGATTTTTCGGTGCTGTATTTCTATGTGTTGTTTTGCACAAAATTTTTATGTGGCTGTTGTTGATTATTCTGAACAACTTATGATCATTTTCATTGACATCACTTCCACTTTCAATCCATCATTTTGGTTTTTTAATTTTATGATTTATTTCAGGTTGGTATCAGATTTTTTTTATTTTTTTATTTTTTTTTATCTTAGTATAGTTATAGGTGAGAAGAATCCGGAAATTCCTTTCAATACCAAAACACAATGTGTTTTCCTGATCCTGCACAGCAACCACCACTTCCTCCATTACTTCCTCTACCTTTTGCCAGTGAAGATGTAGATAGGTTTTGGTCTACACCTCCTATGAATGGTGCTGTTTCTCTATTTGAGGATCCCCCTCAGTTCAAGAGACTAATGAATTTTGAAAACAACCCATCAAATTTTGCACCCTTTGCACAAATAAAATTCTGCAATGATATTAATAAAACTTGGACACTAAAGGGACGGGCTATACATTTTACAAGACTCGTATTTGTGCAAAATTCACCAAATGTACCTGCAAGAATGGCGAGCATTGCACATATGCTCATGATGTTGAAGAATTATGAAATCCCCCTCCAAATCGGCAAGAGCTTGTTTGAGGAAAGAAGAGAGGCACCAGGAATTAGACTGATATACAAGATGAAAATTTGCAATTTATTTTATAATGGACATGAGTGTCGATATGGAGAGAAACGCAAATTTCTACATGAACGTCCAATGAAATTTATGACTGACATTTCAAGGCAAAATAGAGCAAGAGTTGTTGAAAGTATTGGAGCTACATGGCCTGATTTGATAAATAAAAATGATTATGCTCAGCCTGATTATAGTAAGAACATCAGCAGCAGTTCCGATACTTTCCAAGCAAAGACAGCATTTTGGAAAACGAAAATATGTTGCAAATGGGAGATTGGCCGATACCCTTTCGGAGAAACATATCATTTTGCTCAAGACCAGTCAAGTATATTTAGTCACGCGTAGTACAATTTAAATCTTTCTTTTCTGGCTTAGTTCAACACAATTAATGTTTTTGCTATGAACTGATCTTGCTGATTTACCTTGCTTAGCAATATCCTTTTATGGCATTAACAAGAAAAAGAAGGTTCTCATTAAATGGCAGCAGATAACATATTTTGTCCTTTTTCACTAACAAAAAATTTTGTAGTCCAGATGTTACGAATAATGATATTTGTTTTAAAATCAAACGTGTACGTGGTTATACTGTAATATTTGAATCAAAATGAAAGCAAAGGAATATCGTGAAAAGTATGTTATCAAGTTCCTAATATTTCTCTTTTGCTCAATTCGATGCCCTTCTTATAATAAATTTCAGTAGAACATTTCCTACATGAACATCGCTTTCAATCAGTGGCATGTTTATTTCCTATCGAAAATACTTTATATGTGAAACTTCAAACACATATGCTTCCTTTTCTGCAGATTTGCAGTCACCTGGTGCTCGTGTTGAGACAGAGCTGATAATGAATACAGGCCTCAAAATTCCAGAAGAGCCTCTCCCCATACCTGTAATTGGTTCATCTCATGCAACTGCAGTTATCGTTGCTCCAGCAAATAAAGATGCAGAAAGAAAGAAATGGAAGCTCGACAGGCAGGTTAAGGGAATTTATGCTGATTGGTTGGATGTCTTCTTGCCTCATCACTACTCCCCTAGCGAGGAATTTATTTCAGTGGGGGCATAGCTTAAAAAAAAAAAAATGAAACACGAGAATAAACAATAATATTAAATATTCATTTACAGATTTTCATATTTCGAAAATGACAATTCTTGAAATACTTAATCAACGTACTTAAAATAAATTATTCCAAACTAAAAATGAAACTAGTTAAAACCAATTATCAAAAAAAAGAAGGGGGAAAAAAAACCACATTTATTCATTCACTAATGTCCGTACACATAAAAAAGATATGGAATTCTTGAAGTTTTGAATAACATCGAAGAATACTTGGAGTTACGGGGCTCCATTGATTATCAGAGGTTTAAATCACATATCAAGGATAACTTACTAAGCATCTATATGTTTAATTCGATTAAATACATATTATAGAATTTTAGTTTCTACCCATTGACCATCAACCCAGTTTTTTACTCTTTAGTATCCCACAATAATATATGGTGGTGCTTTTGAATTGAATTCCAATCACAATGATCAAGGCTATGAAACAATTTTTCATTTCTTATGTATGATGATGTAACCAGTATCGATCTGAGATGCGCAGACATGGAGTTGACATCGGTGCGTTGATCTTCCCCACAACTCCGACATGCTTTTAACACGTGTCAAAACTGTCAAGTGGCGGTGTTCATCTTCTTTATTTTTTTGTTTTTCAGGCGCTAAACATTCATTGACTCGCCGTGACACGGTGTGTTGTAATGTTTGACATGCCAAAAAATTTAAATATAACCAAGAAGAAAATGAAAATAGAGAAGTAGCAAGTAGCAAGTAGCGTAACCTTGAACTCTATTTTTGCAGATTCAGTGTTATTGCCACACAGACATGTTTCTTTTCAAGTGGCAAAAAAATACAACCACCCAATAAGAACGATGTATTTTATGTAGAAGTTCTAAAAGCCCAACCATAGCTACCCTCTAAACATTTTTTACTACATCAATCGTCTCAATTGGGGAGGGGAAATTACTCTCAATTTCTTTTTCTCAATTCTTAATAAAAAAGGGCTAACTACATTAAATTTCTTTAAAAAATATTGATAGGCTTACATTTGAATAGCAAAGATTATTTCAAAACTTAAAAATATCTTTTTACCTTCTATTTGATTATGCTTTTAATAGTAAGGGAAAATCATAAATAATATTAAACTAAAATAAATTATGATTTTAAAAAAAGTAATTACAACATATCGTATTGGTACTTTTTAAATTCAGTGTCAGACACGTTTAAGAAAATTGACACCTTAGCAATGAGTATTCCTTTGAAATTTATTGTAAGAGGATTCGGGTTTGTTTTTCCTTTCAAAAATCAGCTCTTATAGTGAAGCTTCAGATTATGGGTACTGTTCTTAAGCAGTTGAAATAATCATAGGCCATTCACTTATATGAAATCAAGACAAAAAAAAAAAAAAAAAAAAAACAAAAAAAAAAAGATAATAATAAATAAATCTAATAGCTTTTAACTTTCACTCAATGCCAATTTCCTTCCCCTTTTTTAGTTGCTTCCAGAAGGAGTGATTTTCATTGTTCAGCATGTCCTGTTAGAATTTCTAATATACTCAGAAATCACATTTGCTCAGATTAAATTCAGGTTTGTTATTCTGCTTTGTCTAATTTTTTGTTTGTAACTGATGTTTATGAAAAGTTATTATAAAAATTTTCAAGAATTAAAAAATTATTTCTTGTTTTTAGTTGTGATGTTAAATTAGTAATGTTGTTCGTAAATTTAATTTTGGTCTAGAATTTAGTTCTTGTTCTTCCAAAATTGAGTATTGCTTTCCTGGTTAATATGATTTTACATTTTAGATCACTACCAAATTAAATTCGTGGAGGAAATTTGTAAGTTGTAAAAGAGAAAATTACTGAAAGGGGGCAAGCACTTTTGTTCTAATAAATCATTGTGAAGAACAAGATGAAGACTTGAGGTTTTTATTTCAATTGCTCCATCTTCCTCTCAGATTTCAAGTTACAGCTGGAGAACTAATTTAATTTCCAACGCTTATGGTGACCCTAGAAATCAATTTCTTAATTATCAATAAGAAATCTTTTTATATCTCCATTAACCCTAACCCTAGTAAAAATTGTGCTGCCAAAAGACCAAAAAAAAAAAAAAAAAAATTGTCATTCTCTGCAGCCAAAAAAAAAAAAAAAAAAAAAAAAAAGAAAAGAAAAGAAAAAAAAAAGAAAAGGGGAAGATCCAAGAGCATAAAATCGGGGGAGTCTTTAGGTGTCTCAGCAAATTTCTTAGCCTGGTTAATTGTGATAGAAAGATCTAGTTAAAATTTAAGATTCAAGTTAGATTAAGAGACTAAAGGGCTTGATTCTAATAAAATAAAAAACAAAAAATAAACGTAAAAATAAAAATTGTTCTAAATAAAATATGACTTTCTCATCTCTTAAATCTAATATTTTAAATTTATATTTAGAGGGAATTTAAAACCCCAGCCTCGTGACTAAACATTGGTACATGATTATTGATTTTGTAGTTCAGATGTGGCTTATCTTTCTATTCAAATTTTCCTATTCTTGATTTTTTTGATGCTTTTAATTCTATGTGCTATTTTGGACTAATATTTTATGTGGCTGTTGATTATTTTGAACAATTTATGATCGTTTGCATTGACATCACATAAAATTTCAATCCCCGTCGTTTTTGTTTTTTAATTCTTATGATTTATTTCAGGTTGGTATCAGTTTTTTCTTTTTCTTTTTTATTGCCAAGATTTTAAACTTAGCATAGTTATAGGTGAGAAGAATTCGGAGATTTCTTTAAATACCAAAACACGATGAGTTTTCCTGATCCTGCACAACAACCACCACTTCCTCCATTTCTTCCTCTACCTTTTGCCGGTGGAGATGTTGATAGGTTTTGGCCTACACCTCCTATGAATGGAGCTGTTTCTCAATTTGAGCATCCCCCTCCCTTCAAGAGACCAATGAGCCTTGAAAACAATCCATCAAGTTTTGCACCCTTTGCACAAATGAAATCCCATGATGACATTTCTAAATCCTCGGAGACTAAAGGAACGGGCCATATATTTTACAAGACTCGTATTTGTGCGAAATTCTCCGAAGGCACCTGCAAGAATGGGGAGCATTGCACATATGCTCATGGTGTTGAAGATTTACGGAATCCCCCTCCAAATTGGCAAGAACTTGTTCGAGGAAAGAAGAGAGGCACCGAGAATTTTAGTGATGATCAAAGAATGACACACAGGACGAAAATTTGCTATTTGTTTTACAATGGGCTTGAGTGTCGATATGGAAAGAAATGCAAATTTCTTCATGAACGTCCAATGAAATTTTTGACTGACATTTCAAAGCAAAAGAGAGAGAGTGTTGTTGTAAGTATTGGAACTACGAGGCCTGATTTGATAAATAAAAGTGATTATGCTCAGCCTGATTATGGTAAGAATGTTAGCAACAGTTCTGATAATTTCCAAGCAAAGACAGCATTTCGGAAAATGAAACTAGGTTGCAAATGGGAGATCGGCCAATGCCCTTCTGGAGAAACATGTCATTTTGCTCATGACAAGTCAGGTATATTTAGTCTCTCGTATTCCAATTTAAAGCTTTCTTTTTGGGTTTAGTTCAATACAATTAATGTTTCCTTTGAACTGATCTTGCTGATTTACCTTGTTTAGGAAGACCCTTTCATGACATTAACAAGAAAAAGAAGGTTCTCATTAAATGGCAACAGATAACACATTTTATGCTTTTTCGCTAACGACAAATTTTGGAAGTCCAGATAACTCATTCAAAATATCAGAATAATGATATTTGTTTTAAAATGACATGTATATGTAGTTATACTGTAACAATTGAATAAAAATGAAAGAAAAAGAATATCATAAAAAATATCTTATCAAGATCCTAATATTTCTTTTTTGTCTATTTCGAAGCCCTTCTTATAATCAATTTCAATAAAACATTTCCTACTTGAACGTTAATTTCAATTAGTAGCCTGTTTGTTTCCTATTGAAAATACTTTACATTCATGTAAAACTTCCAACACATATGCTTTCGTTTTTGCAGATTTCCAGTTACATCGTGCTCGAGTTAAGACGGAGCCAGTAATGAATTCAGGCAGCAAAATTCCAGAAGAGCCTTTCCTTGTGCCTGTAATTGGTTCATCTCAGGCAACTGCTGTTATTGTTGCTCCAGCAAATGAAGATGCAGAAAGAAAGAAATGGAAGCTCGGCAGGCAGGTTAAGGGAATTTATGCTGATTGGTTAGATGATTTCTTGCCTCCTAACTACTCCACTAGCAATGAGGAGATATGACAATTACTGCCAGAATTGTTGATGATTAATGATTATTAACTGTTGACTAAACTGTTCTGCTTTATATTGCTCGTTGGTAATTTCTAATTTCAACTCCAGGTACCAAGTACACTCCTTCAATGATTTGAATAATTCAGAGTAACTTTGATTGAATTATTTTCTGTAGATGGTTCAAATACATTATTCAGCTTTCTATGGTTGTGTTTCTAAGTTTTAAAGGCTCTTGCTGTCTTCTTTAAATCATCATGATACATTTTATAAATCTCTACATGGATATGTACTTTTTCCCTCCTTATAAGGACATGTGTAGGGTTGATTTTCACCGAACTCCAAGTACAAAACTGGGCTCAGTTTACCAATTTCATCGACACCACAAAGGTTGAGACAACTCCAAGAACCACCACTGCCGCCGCCCCACTCCGGTTGCTAAAGGTTGGAAAGTGAAGTCCAATGATGTGCCCACAAAGGATTAACCACAAAGGTCACAGTGAAGTATATCAAGAAGCCGAGAAGAGAGTCTCACAAAAAGAAGAGAAAAATAGGCACACTCCATGGAGGCCGAGAGGAAGGTGGGATTATATGCCAAGTAAATGTCCAAAATAGGTAAGTTAGGTTAGGGTTAAATTGTGGACCAAAATAAGGCTCGACTCAATTAAAGTGGGCTTCAAAATAATAATATAGCCTTCCAAGGAATTGGGGTGAACCGTGAGCAACACTATTTAAAATAGGTTGCTTCGAACGGTCCATAAAAATGTGGATTGTTTTGTCTCGATAATTGTGTCGATGTACTAGTCAATCATATGGCCAAGGCCGATTGATAATAAAAACCGAGGTTACATCATCGTCCGGGGAGGTCGTTTGACAACAAGTTGCCTAACAACATGAATATGTACTAAGCATCTATGTGTTAATCAGATTAAGTACATATTGTAGAACTTTAATTTCTACCCATTGGCCTTCAATCTAGTTTTTTATTCTTTAGTATCCCATAATAATATATGGTGGTGCTGTTTAATTGAATTCCCATCACAAGGATTGAGGCTCTGAAACATTTTTTCATTTGCTCACGTATAATGAATGTAAACACCTATGATGCACAGACACGAAGTTGACATCGTTGAGTCAATCTTCCACACAACTCTGACACAGAAAATTTCAAGTGGCATGTCCATCTTCTTTTTTGTTTTTCAGTCACCAAACAGGTGTCGACTCGCAGTAGGACGGCATGGTGTAATGTTTGACCTGCCCAAAAAATGAAAAATAACCAAGAAGAAAAACGAAAATAGAGGTAAAGCATGTAGCATAATCTTTGAACTCCATTTTTACACTTTCAGCGTCATTGCCACTGACATGAAGTTTCGCTTCAAGTGGCGAAAAATTGCAACAAACTAATAGGAACAATGTCTTTTGTATAAAAGTTCTAAAAGCCCAACCATAGTTACCAACTAAGCATTTTTCACTCTGTCAATCGACTCAATTGGGGAGGTAAAATTACTCATAATTGCATGTTTCTCAATTCTTAAAAGAAAAAAAAGGGACCCACTACATTAAATTTCTTTAAACAATATTGACAGGCTTACATTTGAATAACAAAGATTATTTCGAAATTAAAAATATCACTGTACCTTCTATTTGATTATGAATTTAATAATAACAGAAAAACATAAATAATATTAAACTAAAACAAAGTAAATATTTTTTAAATAACATAATAACGACGTATCGTGTTGGTACTCTTTTTAAATTACGTGTCGAACACGTGTTAGAAAATTGACACCTCAGCAATGAGCATTTGTCTGAAATTCATTGCAAGAGGAATTGGATAATTAATATTAGAAGTCTAGTATGTTCAAAAATCAACATTGCCATATAAGATATTACTGTTCTTCTTTTCATAAATCTGCTCTTATAGAGAAGCTTCAAATCATAGGTACTGTTCTTAAGCAGTGAAAATAATCATAGTCGATTCACTTATATGAAACCAAGTATAATTTTAAGTAGTGGTACTGTGAAACTTCTTTGTTTCTTTTACTTGAATCTGATACTGAAGTACGAGATTTTTTTAAAAACGATCCCTTGACCAGTTCATTGTCAAAGATAATGAAGAGACACAACACTGCATGCCAAATGTCGATATGTAAGAGTACAATTTTGAATGTCCACTTGGTTTTGTAAAATCTGAATTCAAATATACTTGTCCCACAAATTACAACCACCATTTTGAAGATAATCTCATATTTATTTCATCATTAAGAGGTCTAAGGCATTGTTTGGGTTTAGCCATTTCTAGGGTTTTCCTTTTGGACTCGACCTTGATTTCCATTTGAAATTTGCTTAATCTATGTAATATTTGGCATAGATTTTAAGCTCTTTAGAGAGAGAGAGAGAGAGAAACTTTAAACACTCATTGCCAATTTCATTCACCATTTTTAGTTGCTTCCTGAAGGAGTTGGTTTAGAGAGAGAGAGAGAGAGAGAGAGAGAGAGAGAGAGAGGGGGGGGCTAACTTTAAACACTCATTGCCAATTTCATTCAGCTTTTTTAGTTGCTTCCTGAAGGAGTGGTTTTCATTGTTCAGCATGAGTTCTTATGTTAGAATTCTCTAATATAATCGGAAATCACATTAATTTAATTTAAATTCTGGTTTGTTAATTCTGCTTTGTGTTCGGTAAAATTTTGCAAATGTACGGGATAGTTAACAAGTAATAGACTTGATTAGTTAAGAGTTATTGTCCTACAGGGAATAAATTCAATTTAATTTTACTAGTTATGTATTGGATTCGAAATATGTAACACAAAAGAGAGTTTGATTTGATCTGTACTAAATTAATCTAAGAAAGCTGTAAAAGTGTTGTTTTCAACAATTTATGGATGACTGTATTGGAATTCGAATCCACTTGTTGCTAACTATTTCAATTCTCAATTATGTAGTTTAATCATATTCATGCACTCTTGACAATTGATAAATTTAATGTATTCAACTTTCTTTTCAAGATAAATTAACTCTATTCTAGTCATGATCCGAGTCTATTTCAAACCTAAATTCGAATAATTAGAATGCATTAAATTTTAGATTATCAATATGATTGCATACGTAATAGATATTATTCCTAACATCTATTGCATATAAGTTAATTTTGTAGCATTCCAAATTTATTGTGAGTCTCTCAACACTATAAAAAGCATCTAATTATCTAATTGGTGGTCAAGCATTTTAATAGTGCAACAGGAATGCAAAATTAATCAAGAAATACAAAAAAAAATACTAAACTAATAATTTTGAATTAAAATAAATAACAATATGGCTCATCTTCATCCAATACAAAAGCAAATCTAGGCTGTCATAAAAAAGAATTACGGAAAAGTATCGCTTGGATCATGAAATAATACCAAAGGAATTGATCTTCAAGTCCAAGGTTGAAATATTTAATTTGTAGATGTATGATCTTCTCTTTCAAAAGTGATGAATTGACATGATGTTCTTTATGAATTTGATGATATTATTGTGTGTGAAGATGTAAGAGAGTTTTCTTGTGTTTTCCTGCTTTTCTGTTTACAAGAATTGAATCTAAGTCAAGAAATCTTTCCGAAGTTGATAACAATAAGAGTTTGAATCAAAAAGGAAAAGTGGTATGTCTGTAGAGAGTTTAGCTGGGGCACCAAAGGATTCACTGAGCGTGTGTGGTAGAGTAGTTTTATTCTTGATAAATAATACATAAGGTTTTGTGCGTGTAGCGGTTCACATATGTTCATTCCTAAATAGCCTTTGATATTTTGATCATAATATTTTCACCCGATATCAGATTGAGGTAATTCAACGTGCGTTGAAAATAGAACATAAAGGACTACCATGAATTCATTTGAGTTCATGGTAAAGCATCAATGGTCCACTAATTTTAACTTATTTAAATTTTAAATCAAACTAATCCTAAATGATCCAAAACATAAATTTTGTGCTCAAAATTATCAATTTTCACATGAATAAGCAAAAATCAACTTAACATACAACTTTTCTACAATTTATCATATAACACATAGTTTCAAATATATCCATCATAGTAGACAAAATCATAAAATCCACACAAGCACATAAAAGAAAAAATAAGGTTGAAAACAAAATAATTTTTTCAAATTTATGAAGTTTTTTTTACACGCGAGCAAACATATAAAATAGTAAAAATAGATAAGACTCAATGTATTTCAGCCCCAAACTTATAACAAACATTTTTCTTGATGTCCAAAAATATAACAAGCAATATATAAAAATTAAGGATAAAGAAGGGAACTAAGTATTCCTCTGGTATAAATCTATAGGTGGTG